TCCCCGGATGGTGGGGCCGAGTCACTGCAGCTCACTGCACAGGCTGGAGCAGGCATGGGGGGAAAGGGGGTACTGGGGGGGAGGGGCTCCTGCAACTCCGGGGGGGATTATTCAGGGGGCACTATGACAACAGCACAGCCCAGCTCAGCCTGGCCCCTGGGGGCTGATGACATCATCCCAGAGGAGGAGCTTAGAAGAGCTTGCTGACGTCAGTCTAGTGGAAGGGGCAGAGCCTGATCCCATGACATCAGCATGTTTAAAGGGGCGGAGCCTAGCATCCCCTTATGAGGTCATTTCTTAAAGGGAAAGATCCCTTAAGACAGGGCATGTGGAAAGGGGCAGAGTTAAGGGGCTGGGTCTTGCCTCATCACTGCTCAGGCAGAAGGGGTGGGGGCGGAGCCTGATGCTGCAATAAGCTCACTGGGCAGAGCCTGATGGGTGCACACGGCAGAAAGGGGTGGAGCCTATTGTAAGATTTAAAGAGACAGGACCCCACTGGCCAATGAAATAACACAAATGTGGAGTGATGTCATAGCAATTGATGATGCAATATTAAAGGGACAAGACCCCTTGTGGGCAAAAGCAAGAACAGGCACCAAGCTGAAGAGACCCCCCCCCCGCCCCACACTCACTCCCGTGCCATACTGAGCCCTTCTGGGGAGCAGAAGTCAGCAGCACCCTCAAAATCATAGACAAGAGAAGAGGGTCATGGCTGAGGGACCAACCCCTGCATCCTCAACCCACCTCTGCCCTAGCCCGCCCCTGAGAGCCTGAAGGAGTCCCGCTGCCCCGTGCCTCAGTTTCCCCACAGCCAGATCACAGATGAACCTGGCCATTTGGGGCCCAGCTTCTGCCCCCCCAGGGGAAACAAAAATGGACCCAGGAGAGTGGGGGTGCCAGGGGGCCGCTCTAGTGGAAGAAAGGAGTGGCAGAAATGAACCTGGGAGGGGAAATAAGAGAGGACAATGGGGCTGGAGGGAGCTGTAGACCCTACCATAAACAACAACAAGGAGTTTGTAACCAGGCTCCAAACGTTTATTCCACTGGAGTCTGCGAAGCACGAATCAACCATACAAAAAACCCAACTCTCTCCATTCCCTTGGCCCAAACCCTAACAAAAATAATCCAGCCCCCCAGCTGCCCAGAAGGGCCCCCTTCCATGGGAAATAGCTCAGGGGGGAGCAGCACTTCAAACACCCCACATCTCTTCCAGGAAGGGTCCCGTTGGGAAGGGACAGGAGTTAATGGCATCCCCCCTCCTTGCTCCCCGGGGCAGGGGACCCAAAACCCCCCTTAAAGAACTGGGAGAAATTCTTGAAAAATAAAAATGCAACTTCAACTGCTGTGTGACTTCAGGTGAAAGGGGGCCGGGGAGTTCAGACCCTGCCCCCCAATCTTTTCCCCAAATGGGGGGGTAGGGAAATAACGCTAGGAACCACCCCACTATTCATCCCATGAGGAATCTGCCACTCTGGGGAACACAGACGCTGGGCGTTGGGGTCCTAGACACGGGGACGCTTTGAACCCAGGCATCCGGGGCCCTAGGAAGGGCACAGCTGAGACCCCCCTGCCAGGCCCTGGATATCTGGGTTCCCCTCTGCTCTTCCTGGGTAGGGGCCAAGATGAAGCCAGGAGGCCGGAGCTTGCCAGGAGGCTGGCAGGGCAAAAAGGAGGAACCCCTGGATGGGGCGGGGGGGCTCCTGCTCCCAGCCAGGAGGGGGAGCAGCCCGGACCCAGGCATCTGGGAGCACCATGGTTTTAGTAGCAGGAGCAGCCCAGCAGGGGGTGGGGGCCCTGGGGCAGGTCCCCCCCCGGTGGCGGGAGTGGGGGGGGTCACTGCTTTTGCTGCAGCGCCTCCTTGCGTGCGGCGTCCTGGAGCAGCTGCGTGTCCACCTCGTCGGCCGGCAGCTGCACGTAACGCACCACGGAGCCCCGGATAAAGCAGTTCTTCACCGACAGCTGGGGGGGAGACTGGGCTTAGGGGGAGCACCCGCCCAGGGTGTGGGAAGGAGGGGGGGCAGACCCCACCCCCTGCAGCTGTAGCCCCGC